GGATTAAAAATACAAGTGTCTAGGCTCCAACCTAAGAGATGTGTTCCAATCAACACATCTTGCGTGGGGCACTGGAATCAGAATGTTAAGCAGTCTGCAATGTGAATCCTCAATAATTCTGTTGCAGATGGTGTATGGGATACACTTTGGGAAAAACTCGGGTAGAGTCATGTTGTAATTGAAAAGAATGCAAACACCTTATAATATTTATATCCAGATCTGAACCTGTATATTAAGATTTTTTAAGCCAAGATATTTATATTTTTTCAGAATTTCAAAACCATAGAATTTTTGTGTTTTGAATTGATAGTTTTAAAAGTGTCTTGGTAATTTGGGAAGGTACCAATTCTGCCTAACATTTGTATACGTATGTTGAACATTTTGAGCTGTATTGGGTGGGTGAATAGGACCCTGCCTATTCAATGTTGGTAGATTTTTAAAGAAATTCTTTCCCTATTTTCTAATAATTATGGCAGTAGTTATGAGCAGTATAAATAACTTTACCAGAGATATTGAAAGGTTTTTCATTTCTTAAATAAATCAAGCTCAGTCTACATGCTTTAGGCACTTTAGGGAGTTAATAAACACATGCCCGCATAAACATACAAATATACACACATGCCTCTTAATCCTGGTATGTTCCTATTGACTGACATATTAATTTTTCTTAAGACAGAAATCATCCTGGTGCAAAGTTTTAATGCAAAACATATTTCTCTTCTTACTCTAGACATGAGCAATCAGGAAGTGATTTTTTCCTCCGTGAGAGTTCTTCAGTCTCCTTCAGAGTCACAAAATAGATCAAGGCCTGGTAGTACTCAAAGACCAGGCAAAAGTGATGACAAAGGTATATGTTTTAAGCATCTAGATTCACCTGTCTCTAATGGATTGTCAAACTCTAGATGTTTGAAAACAGTGTTGCTATCTGTACTGCAGGTTCTCAGAAGGTAATGTGAAACCATAATTGTGTAGATGAGTAGAACAGGTCTTTTGTTTTTTTAAAGTTTCTGAGAATGGAGAAATTAATGAATTCTTTTAAATTTCAGGTGGTAATAGAATATTTTCATTCAGATTTGTTTAATAGGAATTCATGAGGCCTTTAAAAAGACAGCCTAGAGTCCCCAGAAAAGATTGCATCTTCTAGAGAAATAAAAGTCTTAAAGAATGAGGAATGAAAAATATGCATTAGAAACAATGTTTTTTCCAGAAAGAAGATATTTTAGATGTCTTAAATATTTATCAAAAGTTCATGGCAGTGAAGAAGCAAAAATATTCAAATCAAAAGGCACCTTCTAATTTTTCTATTCTCTGTCTATCCTCTCTAATATTGTCACAAACTCTAAACTGAGAATAACTGTTACTTGTTTAATTCAGTGACAGAGATACAACTTTTAGATACTCAGGACATCAAAAGTAGGAGGATCAATATAGTATTGACTAGAGAAAAATAGAATTGATGAAAAAGAAAGGGAAGTTGATTTCTGGAAACTCCTTTAAGGTTGAACCCCAATCACATTGGCAACTTCAGAATATCCACTATTGGCCAGCAATTTCTCAAGAATATTAACTGCTTTGTCCTTTTCATGATTAATAGTGATCACAGGAAGGAGTATACATGTCAGTGTGGATTCTCATAAATGTGTATTGTGTCTATTGCCATCTGTGCTTTTGTAAGGGATGCACTTTTAAAATCCTATAGGACTGTTCTTGTGTGTAGCATTTCTAAAATGGGTGTTTGTCAATCAGAAATCTGAAACTTTAAAACTGTGATTACGAGATCACAAATTTACATTCATTTGTATGGTATATTTTTGTAAATTTTTTAGTGAAGATTGTCTTTTTGTTCCAAATGGTGTCCTAGGTTAAGGTTAGTAGTGGACCAGGCTCTATTTCTAATGATTATTTTCTTCCTTCTTTATTTGAAGAGTTTTCAGTGCCCTGGCATCTCACTGTAGTGATTCTTGGGATCCTCTGTTTACTTCTTTTCGTGATAATCAGAGTGTTGGAGACAAAGAGTGAGTAATTGAAATATCTCCTTCAAGTCTGTGTAACAGCGAGAACCACTAATTGTGCAGATATTAACCAGGCTCCTACCATTGCGCCTTGGCTGTAATGGGGGAATGTCCCAGGTGGCTCTTTATTGGTGATTTTTCCTCAGACACATCACAATGTCATTTTCATTTTATTGCCTATTTCAATGACTGCACCTGTAATGAGCTTTTTCATTCTGTATAATACACGGTAATAATCCTCTGGTAAGGACTTGGTAATAGTCTGCCTTCAGAGTTTAGATTGCTGTGAATTTTAGATAGACATTCTTTGAGAAACAACTATTCAAAAGAAATTATGACTTTCTCTTGAGTTTTTTCAAGTATACAATGAAGAAATGGTTTAGTAAAAAGAGTGATTTTATACGTGGATGTTAGATGATCTTGAATTCAGCCTTTATCTTTTATTTGAATTCCTTGACATCTTTAGAAAAAATCACTAATATGACACTCAGATAAAATTACATATTTGGATCTTCCTCTCTTTTCTCCTATGGGTATTTCATCTACTCCAATAATGATGGTGCCATTTCTTCATGTTGTTAGTGCAG